GAAGAGGGAGGAGGAGGAGAAAGAGGAAAAAGAAGAAGAATGAAGAAAGAAGAAAGAAGAAAGAAAAAAGAAGAGAAAAGGAAGAAGGAAGAAGAAGAGGAAAGAAAAGAAAGAAGAAAGAAGGAGGAAGAAGAAAGGAGGAGGACGAGGAGGACGAGGACAAGGACGAGGACGAGGCATTGACTTCCAATTCCTTTTGGGGCAGTAGAATAAGGTAACATAGTAAAATAAAATCATAGGAAATATTATTATTATTTCTAGAAGGCTTTTTCATGTTCGCAGACTGGCCAACAATTGTTTCTTAGTCGCCTGGCATTGAAGTGGCAGCTTGATAGATTTCTGCTTGGCTTCTGGGATCTGCCAAGGTCAGATAGATGCTGCTCTCTTGATGCTTGAACAACATTCTGGTCTCAAAGCAAAGTAATAGCATTGATAGTTATGACTAACTGTATTCCAAAAAGTCATATATATATATATTCATTGTCTTTCTCCTGCCAAGACTTTTTGGCTGTAGAGTAGGTTGGGAAGCTGAGCCTTCAAGAGTGGAGCTTACTTAAGATCACTCCGAGCCTTTCCCATGGAATGACACTGGTGTTCTTGGAAGGAAATTTTAGGCAAGGCTCTTCAAACTTGGCAAGTTTAAGACTCCTGGACTTCAAACTCCCAGACTTCCTGAGCTAACATGACTGGAGGAGGAATTCTGGGAGTTGAAGTCCACAAGTCTTAAAGCTGGCCAAGTTTGAAGACCCCTGGCCTCAGGGCTATTGGGTATCCAAAATGATGGGTCAGAAAGACTCCTGAAGTTGGCTTCCTCAACAGCTCAACCAACCAGCTCCCTGCAAGATTGAACTCACCAATGAAAGGATGAAGAACATCTTAGAGGCTGTTTCTTTTGGTCTTTTGAACATGCATCAAATGACGTTACCACGAAACGTATTTGGATTTTTGAACTTGGGTTCCAAGACTAGAAGATGAGCACTAGAAAGACGGGACATTGTCCTTGACCAAGACTGGAGTGAAGGTTTTTCTGACCCCTCACTGACACAGGCGGATGTTCCTAGACAGCTGTTGATACTCAGTCTTGTGTGAGTAGGATAGACTAGAATAACAGAGTTGGAAGGGACCTTGGAGGTCTTCTAGTCCTGCTTAGGCAGGAAAACCTGCACCACTTCAGACAAATGGTTATCCAACTTCTTTCTTAAAACTTCCAATGTTGGAGCATTCACAACTTCTGAAGAAAGAAGAAGAAAGAAAAGGAAGAAGGAAGAAGAAGAAAGAAGAAAAGAAAGAAGAAAGGAGGTGGAGAAGGAGTTGTTGTTCCGCTGATTAATTGTTCCCACTGTCAGGAAATTTCTCCTTAGTTCTAAGTTGCTTCTCTCCTTGGTGAGTTTCCATCCGTTGCTTTTCTTGTCCTGCCTTCAGGTGCTTTGGAGAATAGCTTGACTGCCTCTTCTTTGGGGCAGCCCCTCAAATATTGGAAGGCTGCTATCATGCATCCACCTTTCTTTCTTGTGAAGTGCTGCCAATAACAGAAGTGTCAAATGAACCAGAAAAGAAACCAACTGAAGTACAAAGAGCTTCAAGAATGAATCTGAACCGAAATGAACGACTTTGCTTCCTGCAAAGGTTTCTCTACCTTTGCCTGTCCTTTATACCTTAGGGGAGGGGCAATCACCTCCCAGCCTTACTCCTGAGTTGCCCCTTTTGCCTCAGCTGCTCTCGCCTTCTAGCAGCTCTGTGCATGTGCGCACTGGGAACAGGCTCCCCTTGTTCCTCTGCCTTGCTGCTGCCAGACTCCAGAGGCTCCAAAGGCTCCAAAGGCAGCACCCCACTCCCAGACAGTCCTGGCCCCATCCCTGCATCGAATGCAGGACCCTCATCCAAGTCCTCCCCAGACTCCCAGACTGGCCCCCATTGTTCCCCACTATCCGATTCCGCTGCTGTTTGCACAGGCTCTGGCGAACAACTACACGTTAGCATTCAATAAGGGGCGTGCATAAGTGCACCATCGTGCCTCCTGTCCCTGTCCTATTGTCCCCATTTATTTGTACCTATTTCCTGTATTCTTACTCATGTTTATACTTATACCTATTATCTTGTAATATTTTCATGAGGGGTCCTACAAGATAGAAGTGCCCAGAAATTTAAAACCACCAACCCTCTCCACCTCCTCGCCATTTATGTACAATGGTAAATGTACATCTCTCTTCCTCCTGAAGTCGATTATAAGCTCTTTAGTTGTTGTTTTTTTAGTGTTAAGTGTAAGATTAGTTACACTTAGTGTTAAGTGTAAGATTATTTTCTTATGTACGCTTCCCGGAATACATTTCCAGATAATTACATGGAACGGAGTCATTTCCTCTGAAATTTATAATGAGTTAATCATTAGCCTCAGCTTCTGGGCTTCGTGGGAGAAAACTCTCCAAGCTAAAAATACTAATTGGGGAGGGGGGCAAGAAAGAGAAAAATAAAAATTGGTGCTTTCCTTCCAGAAGGCTGTTATGCCGCGAAGATGCTTGTTTCGTGATTCCTCTACTCTTTGAGGGATAGAACAAGCCGCGTTCGACTGGATTCGCGCACTGCACAAAAGCCACAAGCTGCAAGGATGAGGTTTGCAGGTTTGACCAGAGGCAAGGCTGGGCCTGAGGATGTGAACCAAACAATATGTGTACACACACACACACACACACACACACACACACACACACACACTAAGTCAAGATGATGATGTTGCATTGTCTGTTTATTCGGCTGGCTCCATCCACAGTGCTCTCTAGCGGCTGAGCCGATGCACTAAAGAAGCAAGATTTCCCTTGTGAAAAGGCATGAAAAATGTTTGACAAACGCACTGAAGGGATGGGAAGAGGGGCAGTTGGGCATCTCTTTGGTTAGCATCCCCATTCCACAGAGGGGGGTGCAACCCTTGCTTGAAGATCTCCCAAACAAAGCTGGATCTGAAGACCTTCTGTGGGGGAGAGAGAGAGAGACAGAGAGAGACAGAGACACACACACAGAGAGAGACAGAGAGGGAGGCAGTGAGGGAGGGAGAGAGAGAGAGACTGAGAGAACAAGCTACTTATGTATAAACAGACATCAAATCCCAGTCTCTTCTAGCACTGATGATGTTGCCTAGTTGGGTCATGAGATGTCTGCAAGGAAACAACCACGCTCAAAACAAAAAGCATCAAGGATTAACCCCATAGTCCTCCTCCTCCTCTTCCTCCTCCTCTTCACAAATCCCACTCTCTTCTAGCATTGATGACATTACCTAGTTGGGTCATGAAAAGTCTGAATGGGAAACAGCTAAGCTCAGAGAGCACCAAGGATCCCACAGCCCTTCTCCTCCCGCTGTTCCTTCTCCTCCCTCCCTCCTTCCCTTCCTGTCCCCTCCTCCTCCTCTACACGTTCCCTTCCAGCACTGATGATGTTACCTAGTTAGGTAATGAGACATCTGCAAGGAAACAACCACACTTAGAGAGCATCAAGAACTAACCCCATAGTTGTCCTCCTCCTCCTCCTCCTCCTCCTCCTCCTCCTCCTCCTCCAATCCCACTCTTCTAGCACTGATGATGCTACCTATTTGGGTCTTGAAACGTCTTCATAGAAAACAACCAAGCTCAGAGAGCACCAAGGAGACCCCGCAATTCTCAATTCTGGGCACTTAGCTAAGCAATACTTTGCGTCTGCTCTGCACACCTTTTAAGTCAAAATGTACCATGAACAGTCCCGCACGTTCTCCCAGCTTACACACCCACAGCCCATCTTGTGCGTAGTTCTTTAACAACGCGTGCTCCGAGCAGAGAAGCGATTGCCATGTTGAATATTCATCAACTCCTTCAAAACCGGTGTTTGTGGTTGCTTCTGAAATGCCGTGTTAACATAAATCCAAGGTTTTGGGCTCTTGCAGGAACACAAGCCTCTCCATGCTTATGAAAATAGACAGAAGAGGACAAGCTGACAGGTGTGAAAAAAATGCTGCCAGCCCTCACTGTGGCTCTGTAGCTGGAATGGTATGAACAGTGCATTAAAAATAGCCACGGTGTTGCTTCTCATAAATGAGAAACAAAAGGAAAAATAAATTCT